ATGGTGTTGTGTGGAGTTTAATGGTGTTGTGTGTTGTGTGATGGTGTTGTGTGGAGTTTAATGGTGTTGTGTGATGGTGTTGTGTGGAGTTTAATGATGTTGTGTGATGGTGTTGTGTGGAGTTTAATGGTGTTGTGTGTTGGTGTTGTGTGGAGTTTAATGGTGTTGTGTGTTGTGAGATGGTGCTGTGTGGAGTTTAATGGTGTTGTGTGAAGTTTAATGGTGTTGTGTGATGGTGTTGTGTGGAGTTTAATGGAGTTGTGTGATGGTGTTGTCTGGAGTTTAAGCTTGTTGTCTGGAGTTTAAGCTTGTTGTCTGGAGTTTAAGCTTGTTGTCTGGAGTTTAAGCTTGTTGTCTGGAGTTTAAGCTTGTTGTCTGGAGTTTAAGCTTGTTGTCTGGAGTTTAAGCTTGTTGTCTGGAGTTTAAGCTTGTTGTCTGGAGTTTAAGCTTGTTGTCTGGAGTTTAAGCTTGTTGTCTGGAGTTTAAGCTTGTTGTCTGGAGTTTAAGCTTGTTGTCTGGAGTTTAAGCTTGTTGTCTGGAGTTTAAGCTTGTTGTCTGGAGTTTAAGCTTGTTGTCTGGAGTTTAAGCTTGTTGTCTGGAGTTTAAGCTTGTTGTCTGGAGTTTAAGCTTGTTGTCTGGAGTTTAAGCTTGTTGTCTGGAGTTTAAGCTTGTTGTCTGGAGTTTAAGCTTGTTGTCTGGAGTTTAAGCTTGTTGTCTGGAGTTTAAGCTTGTTGTCTGGAGTTTAAGCTTGTTGTCTGGAGTTTAAGCTTGTTGTCTGGAGTTTAAGCTTGTTGTCTGGAGTTTAAGCTTGTTGTCTGGAGTTTAAGCTTGTTGTCTGGAGTTTAAGCTTGTTGTCTGGAGTTTAAGCTTGTTGTCTGGAGTTTAAGCTTGTTGTCTGGAGTTTAAGCTTGTTGTCTGGAGTTTAAGCTTGTTGTCTGGAGTTTAAGCTTGTTGTCTGGAGTTTAAGCTTGTTGTCTGGAGTTTAAGCTTGTTGTCTGGAGTTTAAGCTTGTTGTCTGGAGTTTAAGCTTGTTGTCTGGAGTTTAAGCTTGTTGTCTGGAGTTTAAGCTTGTTGTCTGGAGTTTAAGCTTGTTGTCTGGAGTTTAAGCTTGTTGTCTGGAGTTTAAGCTTGTTGTCTGGAGTTTAAGCTTGTTGTCTGGAGTTTAAGCTTGTTGTCTGGAGTTTAAGCTTGTTGTCTGGAGTTTAAGCTTGTTGTCTGGAGTTTAAGCTTGTTGTCTGGAGTTTAAGCTTGTTGTCTGGAGTTTAAGCTTGTTGTCTGGAGTTTAAGCTTGTTGTCTGGAGTTTAAGCTTGTTGTCTGGAGTTTAAGCTTGTTGTCTGGAGTTTAAGCTTGTTGTCTGGAGTTTAAGCTTGTTGTCTGGAGTTTAAGCTTGTTGTCTGGAGTTTAAGCTTGTTGTCTGGAGTTTAAGCTTGTTGTCTGGAGTTTAAGCTTGTTGTCTGGAGTTTAAGCTTGTTGTCTGGAGTTTAAGCTTGTTGTCTGGAGTTTAAGCTTGTTGTCTGGAGTTTAAGCTTGTTGTCTGGAGTTTAAGCTTGTTGTCTGGAGTTTAAGCTTGTTGTCTGGAGTTTAAGCTTGTTGTCTGGAGTTTAAGCTTGTTGTCTGGAGTTTAAGCTTGTTGTCTGGAGTTTAAGCTTGTTGTCTGGAGTTTAAGCTTGTTGTCTGGAGTTTAAGCTTGTTGTCTGGAGTTTAAGCTTGTTGTCTGGAGTTTAAGCTTGTTGTCTGGAGTTTAAGCTTGTTGTCTGGAGTTTAAGCTTGTTGTCTGGAGTTTAAGCTTGTTGTCTGGAGTTTAAGCTTGTTGTCTGGAGTTTAAGCTTGTTGTCTGGAGTTTAAGCTTGTTGTCTGGAGTTTAAGCTTGTTGTCTGGAGTTTAAGCTTGTTGTCTGGAGTTTAAGCTTGTTGTCTGGAGTTTAAGCTTGTTGTCTGGAGTTTAAGCTTGTTGTCTGGAGTTTAAGCTTGTTGTCTGGAGTTTAAGCTTGTTGTCTGGAGTTTAAGCTTGTTGTCTGGAGTTTAAGCTTGTTGTCTGGAGTTTAAGCTTGTTGTCTGGAGTTTAAGCTTGTTGTCTGGAGTTTAAGCTTGTTGTCTGGAGTTTAAGCTTGTTGTCTGGAGTTTAAGCTTGTTGTCTGGAGTTTAAGCTTGTTGTCTGGAGTTTAAGCTTGTTGTCTGGAGTTTAAGCTTGTTGTCTGGAGTTTAAGCTTGTTGTCTGGAGTTTAAGCTTGTTGTCTGGAGTTTAAGCTTGTTGTCTGGAGTTTAAGCTTGTTGTCTGGAGTTTAAGCTTGTTGTCTGGAGTTTAAGCTTGTTGTCTGGAGTTTAAGCTTGTTGTCTGGAGTTTAAGCTTGTTGTCTGGAGTTTAAGCTTGTTGTCTGGAGTTTAAGCTTGTTGTCTGGAGTTTAAGCTTGTTGTCTGGAGTTTAAGCTTGTTGTCTGGAGTTTAAGCTTGTTGTCTGGAGTTTAAGCTTGTTGTCTGGAGTTTAAGCTTGTTGTCTGGAGTTTAAGCTTGTTGTCTGGAGTTTAAGCTTGTTGTCTGGAGTTTAAGCTTGTTGTCTGGAGTTTAAGCTTGTTGTCTGGAGTTTAAGCTTGTTGTCTGGAGTTTAAGCTTGTTGTCTGGAGTTTAAGCTTGTTGTCTGGAGTTTAAGCTTGTTGTCTGGAGTTTAAGCTTGTTGTCTGGAGTTTAAGCTTGTTGTCTGGAGTTTAAGCTTGTTGTCTGGAGTTTAAGCTTGTTGTCTGGAGTTTAAGCTTGTTGTCTGGAGTTTAAGCTTGTTGTCTGGAGTTTAAGCTTGTTGTCTGGAGTTTAAGCTTGTTGTCTGGAGTTTAAGCTTGTTGTCTGGAGTTTAAGCTTGTTGTCTGGAGTTTAAGCTTGTTGTCTGGAGTTTAAGCTTGTTGTCTGGAGTTTAAGCTTGTTGTCTGGAGTTTAAGCTTGTTGTCTGGAGTTTAAGCTTGTTGTCTGGAGTTTAAGCTTGTTGTCTGGAGTTTAAGCTTGTTGTCTGGAGTTTAAGCTTGTTGTCTGGAGTTTAAGCTTGTTGTCTGGAGTTTAAGCTTGTTGTCTGGAGTTTAAGCTTGTTGTCTGGAGTTTAAGCTTGTTGTCTGGAGTTTAAGCTTGTTGTCTGGAGTTTAAGCTTGTTGTCTGGAGTTTAAGCTTGTTGTCTGGAGTTTAAGCTTGTTGTCTGGAGTTTAAGCTTGTTGTCTGGAGTTTAAGCTTGTTGTCTGGAGTTTAAGCTTGTTGTCTGGAGTTTAAGCTTGTTGTCTGGAGTTTAAGCTTGTTGTCTGGAGTTTAAGCTTGTTGTCTGGAGTTTAAGCTTGTTGTCTGGAGTTTAAGCTTGTTGTCTGGAGTTTAAGCTTGTTGTCTGGAGTTTAAGCTTGTTGTCTGGAGTTTAAGCTTGTTGTCTGGAGTTTAAGCTTGTTGTCTGGAGTTTAAGCTTGTTGTCTGGAGTTTAAGCTTGTTGTCTGGAGTTTAAGCTTGTTGTCTGGAGTTTAAGCTTGTTGTCTGGAGTTTAAGCTTGTTGTCTGGAGTTTAAGCTTGTTGTCTGGAGTTTAAGCTTGTTGTCTGGAGTTTAAGCTTGTTGTCTGGAGTTTAAGCTTGTTGTCTGGAGTTTAAGCTTGTTGTCTGGAGTTTAAGCTTGTTGTCTGGAGTTTAAGCTTGTTGTCTGGAGTTTAAGCTTGTTGTCTGGAGTTTAAGCTTGTTGTCTGGAGTTTAAGCTTGTTGTCTGGAGTTTAAGCTTGTTGTCTGGAGTTTAAGCTTGTTGTCTGGAGTTTAAGCTTGTTGTCTGGAGTTTAAGCTTGTTGTCTGGAGTTTAAGCTTGTTGTCTGGAGTTTAAGCTTGTTGTCTGGAGTTTAAGCTTGTTGTCTGGAGTTTAAGCTTGTTGTCTGGAGTTTAAGCTTGTTGTCTGGAGTTTAAGCTTGTTGTCTGGAGTTTAAGCTTGTTGTCTGGAGTTTAAGCTTGTTGTCTGGAGTTTAAGCTTGTTGTCTGGAGTTTAAGCTTGTTGTCTGGAGTTTAAGCTTGTTGTCTGGAGTTTAAGCTTGTTGTCTGGAGTTTAAGCTTGTTGTCTGGAGTTTAAGCTTGTTGTCTGGAGTTTAAGCTTGTTGTCTGGAGTTTAAGCTTGTTGTCTGGAGTTTAAGCTTGTTGTCTGGAGTTTAAGCTTGTTGTCTGGAGTTTAAGCTTGTTGTCTGGAGTTTAAGCTTGTTGTCTGGAGTTTAAGCTTGTTGTCTGGAGTTTAAGCTTGTTGTCTGGAGTTTAAGCTTGTTGTCTGGAGTTTAAGCTTGTTGTCTGGAGTTTAAGCTTGTTGTCTGGAGTTTAAGCTTGTTGTCTGGAGTTTAAGCTTGTTGTCTGGAGTTTAAGCTTGTTGTCTGGAGTTTAAGCTTGTTGTCTGGAGTTTAAGCTTGTTGTCTGGAGTTTAAGCTTGTTGTCTGGAGTTTAAGCTTGTTGTCTGGAGTTTAAGCTTGTTGTCTGGAGTTTAAGCTTGTTGTCTGGAGTTTAAGCTTGTTGTCTGGAGTTTAAGCTTGTTGTCTGGAGTTTAAGCTTGTTGTCTGGAGTTTAAGCTTGTTGTCTGGAGTTTAAGCTTGTTGTCTGGAGTTTAAGCTTGTTGTCTGGAGTTTAAGCTTGTTGTCTGGAGTTTAAGCTTGTTGTCTGGAGTTTAAGCTTGTTGTCTGGAGTTTAAGCTTGTTGTCTGGAGTTTAAGCTTGTTGTCTGGAGTTTAAGCTTGTTGTCTGGAGTTTAAGCTTGTTGTCTGGAGTTTAAGCTTGTTGTCTGGAGTTTAAGCTTGTTGTCTGGAGTTTAAGCTTGTTGTCTGGAGTTTAAGCTTGTTGTCTGGAGTTTAAGCTTGTTGTCTGGAGTTTAAGCTTGTTGTCTGGAGTTTAAGCTTGTTGTCTGGAGTTTAAGCTTGTTGTCTGGAGTTTAAGCTTGTTGTCTGGAGTTTAAGCTTGTTGTCTGGAGTTTAAGCTTGTTGTCTGGAGTTTAAGCTTGTTGTCTGGAGTTTAATGGTGTTGTGTGGAGTTTAATGATGTTGTGTGTTGTCAGGTCATGTGGAAGGCAGCTGCAGGTCAGTCCGTCTCTGTTGCAGTGGATGATGGAGGAGATGATTGGGAAACAGACCCGGACTTTGAGGTTACAAACTCTCTCTGATTGTCTTTGCATCACTTCTCAAGACATGCTCATTCATGCATTACGTGTTTTATCAGTGGATGTAGATGAAAATGCATGCAGTGAAATATTAGTTTGTTTTTTTTAAGTGAATGTTTGCATCTACCTCTTTCTGCACATTCATACAGATTTCAACATTTATGTTTTCTTATTCTTGCTTGTGTGGGTTTTCTCTCCACGGATTTGACTTTTTCCACCGAACGGCAGAATGATGTTTCCGAGAAGGAGCAGCGCTGGGGTGCCAAGACTGTGGCCGGCTCTGGACATCAGGAGCACATCAAGTCAGTCCGCTTCCATAGCTGTTTAAAAACAAAGCATCTTTTCTAACAATACAAGTCTTTACTTTGTATCAATTTAACACGTCCTTGCAGGATAAAATATGACTTCCTTTCAAATAAATAAAGAAAAAAACATTTTGAATAAATGCTGTTCTTTTTAACATTTTGTTCATCAAAGAATCCTGAAAAAAGTATCACAAGTTCCAAAACAATATTAAGCCGCACAGCTGTCTCCAACAATAAATCAGCTTATTAGAATGATTTCTGAAGGATCATGTGATGAATTATAGTTTAAAGTATATTAAAATAGAAAACCGCTATTTTAAATTGCAAACATATTTCACTATTCATTTACATTTGTAAAAAAACAATAAAAATCGTACAGATCCCAAACTTTTGAATGGTGGTGTGTATGTAAAATATTTCTGAAAATTAAGGGACATATAAAATAATATTAATGAAACAATTTTATGTTATGAGTTTAATCATATAATTGATATTAAACTGCCTTTAGACTAATCTTACAAGCAAGTTAGTAGGTCTTTTCTTTAGGACCGGTCTCTTTTCTTTTTTCCCCAGTCAGTTATGTGAAAGTAGATTGGTCTAATTTTAATTGAAAAATAAGACTTATAAACCCTAGTTGGTGAGACTAGCTGTTAACATAGAGACTAGGGTTATATAACTGGCCAGCTTTCTTCTTGAACATGGTAATGGTACTCTACAGAATATAACTCCCTCCTTGTGTCTCAGTATTCATAAGCTGCGTGAGAGAGTGTCGTCTGAACACAGTGAGCTGAAGCAGAAGGAGCTGGAGCACATGCCCAAAGCGTCTCACGGTTACGGAGGAAAGTTTGGACTGCAGCAGGACCGCATGGACAAGGCAAGAGGCTTCGCTCTTATAGTTCACGTCTCTGACGCAGGGGAAGTAGAGCATCGCTCGCTTTTACAGGGATGTGTTTGTTCTAAATGCCTGTTTTAACATGTGGTGTGAAATGTATTTTTTCCCCCAGATACTCCAGGAGTATCTGACATGTTATTTTATGTGTTAAACTCTGATTCATAATAAGAGAATCCATTTAGCAGATGCTTTTATCCAAAGCGACTTACAAATGAGGACAATGGAAGCAATCAAAATCAACAAAAGAACAATGATCTATAAGTGCTATAACAAGTTAAAGTAAAAGTTAAGTATCTATTAAAGATACTCTATCAATTAGATCTTCGATTAGTTTTTTTGCATGAAAATCCATGGATGTATATGATGCAGATATTACATTGGAGACCACATCTCATTCATGCATTCATCAGAATTGAAGCGTGTGTTGTATCTGCAGTCTGCCGTGGGACACGAGTATCAGAGCAAGCTGTCCAAACACTGCTCCCAGACGGACACCTCCAAGGGTTTCGGAGGTAAATTCGGCGTGGAAGCTGACCGTGTTGACCAGGTAACTCCTCAGCTCTTCAGTGGACGGGTGAGTGTTTCTGCGGTCAGATTCACACTCAGTGATGTGCTGTTTTCCTGCAGTCTGCCGTGGGCTTCGAGTATGCCGGGAAAACCGAAAAACACGCCTCGCAGAAAGGTGTCTCTCTCTCTCTCTGTCTTTAAGATTCACTGTTCCAGTGTTGATTGTGCTGCAGTAAGAGCCGCTCATGTTGTGTTGTTTCAGACTACGCCACCGGGTTTGGGGGCCGCTACGGCGTGCAGGAGGATCGCGTGGACCAGAGCGCTGTCGGCTTCGATTATCAGGGGAAAACAGAAAAGCACGAGTCACAGAAAGGTGTGTTCTTGCTTCCCTGGCCTCCCTGGACGTATGGTTGTATTTAGGGATGTCCTGAGCTGATCTCAAGGATCGGGATTGGGACCGATTAAGCATTTTTTTAACTGATCGGTATTGGCTCTCCAAAGCCCGATCCACCAGTGATTCATTAGCTGTCATTCCAGTGTTGTGCAATAGGTGGCGGCATGCACTTTTAGCAGTCCACTGCCATTAAGAGGAAAAAAAGACGCTCAAATGTGCTTGCGGCACAAGAACAATTCTGTATGTTCTAGTGCGTCACACGTTCAAGATTCCGTGTTTAGAGTATTTGATGTGCACTTTGTGTAAGTTATCACTCTGCAGTAATATATTTACTATTTAGCCTACTTTTATCTGCCGTCAGACTATCTGAGACGTCGTTGTCATATCACATTGCTATGGATTGCGTCTTGCTTTGGACGTGAACTTCATGCTTTCTAAGCTTATCTAACTTTTTCCCCTTTATGTTGCAGTTAATCTTATATAATAGGGTTGTGCCGATGGATGAAAGTATCGTGTATCGACAATCAGGCTATATTACTAATACTATCTAATTAATATTAGGGCTTATTTGTTGCATTATATATCTTTTTCCGTGTTTTTACTTGTAGCGTGTTATAACCAATCACACACACTTATGCTGAGCGTATGAATGCAATGGCCATTCAGAGGCGTTCGGATGAGTTCCATTGTTCAGTGCACGCTGATGGAATTCATAATACAATAATCATAAACAACGAAGTGCAGATGTACGTGCGTTGTAGGTATAAGAGATGTATTCATCATACAGTGTATATTCACTGATTATAACGAGAGTGTTTTTAAAGTGCATAAACTCGCGCTAGACTGAGCTTGTGATGATCTTTAGTAATGAAATGTTGCTCGTTTTCTGTAGCTGCTTTTTGAATAACGTTAACTGAGGAAATGTAACTTACAATGTTTCTATTAATTTGTTATCATGTTAAATACAAATTCAGGCATATTAAAAACTTTCGGCTGCTTTTAGTCTTACGCTGGAGTTGGTTCTCTTTCTGGCAATGAAACCAAGTAAATAAATAATTAAATAAATTAGCACGATAATATCGTGTATCGGTGATCTCACAGGCTGACGATAGGACGATATGAAAATTGAGCATATCGCCCAACTCTAGCATATAAAATACAAGAAATTTATATCAGTTTATCATATTAATAATTATGATCACACAGTCTGTTTACAATGTCTGTCATTGTTACATGTTTACATCTACCAATGTCTTTATACAGTGTGTGCGTATATTGAGAGATAGTGTGTATCTTATATATATGTAGTACATATAGTAATGGTTATATTGGATATTAGTGATGATAGATGCCCTTTTTTCACATTTGAGCCCCAGCCCCTGAGAAAGTCTCTGCACATCCCTGTAGAGATTGGGTTGATTTTAATAACTTTAATGCACTTAAAATGTGCACCAAGCACCAGGAAAATCCGAGTATCGAATTGGGACTCGGAATCAATGACTCCGATCGGGGGCACAAAAAACCTGATCGGGACATCCCTAGTTGTATTCTTAAATTTTTCTACCTCTTAAATCTACAGATTACACCAAAGGCTTTGGTGGCAAATTTGGAGTGGAGACGGATAAAGTGGACAAGAGCGCCATGGGCTTCGAGTACCAGGGAAAGACTGAGAAACACGAGTCTCAGAAAGGTTTGTCTCGCATCTTTCATGCCTCACTGTTTGACTTCAGTTTAACAGTACAGATTTATAGAAGATTTTAGTGTTTTTTTTCCCCTTGTGAACAGAAGGTTGGGATAATACTACATATCATTTTCACAGTCAGACGGTGACTCTCCTGTGGTTTTTCTGGTTTGTGTAAGACTATGTAAGGGGCTTCGGAGGGAAGTTTGGCGTTCAGACGGACCGTCAGGATAAGTCTGCGGTGGGATGGGATCATCAGGAGAAACTGCAGCTGCACGAGTCACAGAAAGGTAAAAGACACCACACTCTGTCTGAGGGTTGTATTGATACTTTAATTATGTCTAATGATATGAAACTAGAGATAAGCATCTGTAGCACCTGTTTTTATGCATTGTTATACCAAGGTCTGGATGTCATAGCTCTTCCAGTGGGATATTAATTCTCTGGTGTTGTTTGGTCATTTTTGATTGAATTTTGTTTCATTTTTTTATTTTGTACTTCTTTGAGATGGTACGAAACTTGGTAAAAGTTTTTGCGCTTGCCATGTACTCACACACGCACACTCACTCACACACGCACTCACTCACACACACACGACCGTGTTGAAAGAAATGATAAAAGTTTTGTGCATCTTCAAACAGATCTTCAGCAGCTTTATCTCACTGACCTTTATAGCAGGTTTGAAGTACACAGTCTGTGCACATGTAGCTTGTCATATGATACGATCAATGCAGTTTTACCAAAAGCACACATCTGCTGACGGCTCACTAGTCTGTCCTGTTTGCTTGATGATTTCCCGTCAAAATGAGGGTGAGACTTTTCATATTCATCTAGGTAATGAGCAAAGTGATTTCTACAGCTGTGCTATGATCAAGCGACTTTGAAGCATGATTAATGTGTGTTAACAGCTGATAATTTCTTTTAGAAACATTCCTGAGGACCTTTTAGACTGACATCACAGCTGTATGTCATCAGGCCAGGCTGTCAGGAGCATGACATCAGGACTTTAATCCTGCTACATTTGTATAGTAACAAACAGTCTTTAAAAAAACACAAACTTAACCTCTGTTATAGGCTTTTAGTCAGGGTAGAAGCCTTATTAATTACGCAGATGAAAATGAGGCTGTGAATTATAGACTTACAGTCTTTACAGTGGCATGCACTGCTCTGGTCTTAATCACATGTAATTTTCACAACTAACAACATTCAAAACTTGAAAAATGTTGTCAGAACAATCAGTATGTTGTTAAGGAACAGTACAATCTCTCAGCCTCGTTTTCATTCCTGTTAAAAATTAAAATCTGCATGAAATCAAAATTTACCCTATTTACTTTGTTAGCACACATGGCTAGTTTTGAAGTGATCAATTAATGCAAGTTAGTCCCATGAAAATAATAGTTTGTTTTAGTAATCTTTAATCAAAATCTGAACATTTCTGGAATGGCATTTCTCTGATGACGTCAGTTTGATGGCTTGGACAGGATATCCTTAACCACTCCCTTCCAACCGTTAATTTGCTGCGAGTGAGAGATGGAGAGGAGGAGTGCTAAAAGAACTCTTTAAATATGGCGTTATGGTGCTACCCTGACTAAGGTCTGTTTTGTCATCATGTAATTGTAAGAGCAGACATTTTTTTATGCACTTTTGCTGCTGGATCCCCCCCCCCTTTTTTTATATAATTTTCTTTTATATTTTATATTTATATTTTAATCTTTTCATCTAAAGGTATCATAAGCAAGTGTTCAGAACTCATGACACAAGCATTGGTGCTAAAAGAACATTTCCCCATAATTCAAATTCAAGAAATAAGTTAAAATTGTACAGTTTGGTGTTAGTTCTCAGGGCTGCACCAAAAACATACATGCAGCACGAGCAGTATAGTCAGATTAAAAAAATAATTTTTTTGGACTCTTTTTGAGCAACAACCATTGGATAGAAACTAGGGGTGGGAATCTTTAGTCACCTCACGATCCGATTCCGATTCTGGGAGTCACGATCCAATTCCAGAACAATTCTTGATCTACTTTTTTCCCCCCTTATTAATTAATTAGTTTACCGAGTTGAGAATCTTAAAATCCTTACATTTACATATCCTTACATAAGTAATTAAGTACTTTTTAAAACAATTACAAATTGAAAAAAATAATTAAAACTTGTATGTTAAGACTTTTAAACGAATAAAACTACAAAACATACAAGCAAGTAGCAAATAATAAAGTGGGGCATAGAAACATATTACAAACAACAAACAAAGAGTGCTTTCAGTATTTAAGATTATCTGAATGTTTTCCATTCAACAACTGTGAGTGATTTTTCTTCATCTTTACTGTTGTTCTTTACTATAACATCATAGACAGCGGGAGATCTATTAAGCTGCATTCACGCACGGATCTCTTTTGAAATATAAGAAGTAATGTGGTTTGTCCTGTCCATTTAATCACTTAAGACATAACCGGCTGTGTTTACATGAATTTTGCGTCATAAAACCATTTTGAGACGCAAGTGCATTAAACCACATACATGGAGTCGCGCGAGCACAGCCGCATGCGCGAACAGTCTTCGCATTTGAAATTGCGCGTCAGCATTTGAAAGCGCGCGTCAGCATTTGAAATTGAAAGCAGCCTTCTGTTAGTGAGGTTCATATTTTAAATATATGTCCACTGCATTCCAAACCACATAAATGATGACTTCGTAGAGCATTTCTCAGAATCGATCCAGAATCGTTGGAGAAAGAATCGCGATGGATCGATTTTTTTTCTCCCACCCCTAATAGAAACAAGTCCCATCCCTACACTTTTTCCTCTTTAAATAATTTGTTACACTCAGATGTACATTACGGAATAAAAGATCTGCCACTACTTCCATTTCATTGCGTTGATTGTGCTGCAGTAAGAGCCGCTCATGTTGTGTTGTTTCAGACTACGCCACCGGGTTTGGGGGCCGCTACGGCGTGCAGGAGGATCGCGTGGACCAGAGCGCTGTCGGCTTCGATTATCAGGGGAAAACAGAAAAGCACGAGTCACAGAAAGGTGTGTTCTTGCTTCCCTGGCCTCCCTGGACGTATGGTTGTATTTAGGGATGTCCTGAGCTGATCTCAAGGATCGGGATTGGGACCGATTAAGCATTTTTTTAACTGATCGGTATTGGCTCTCCAAAGCCCGATCCACCAGTGATTCATTAGCTGTCATTCCAGTGTTGTGCAATAGGTGGCGGCATGCACTTTTAGCAGTCCACTGCCATTAAGAGGAAAAAAAGACGCTCAAATGTGCTTGCGGCACAAGAACAATTCTGTATGTTCTAGTGCGTCACACGTTCAAGATTCCGTGTTTAGAGTATTTGATGTGCACTTTGTGTAAGTTATCACTCTGCAGTAATATATTTACTATTTAGCCTACTTTTATCTGCCGTCAGACTATCTGAGACGTCGTTGTCATATCACATTGCTATGGATTGCGTCTTGCTTTGGACGTGAACTTCATGCTTTCTAAGCTTATCTAACTTTTTCCCCTTTATGTTGCAGTTAATCTTATATAATAGGGTTGTGCCGATGGATGAAAGTATCGTGTATCGACAATCAGGCTATATTACTAATACTATCTAATTAATATTAGGGCTTATTTGTTGCATTATATATCTTTTTCCGTGTTTTTACTTGTAGCGTGTTATAACCAATCACACACACTTATGCTGAGCGTATGAATGCAATGGCCATTCAGAGGCGTTCGGATGAGTTCCATTGTTCAGTGCACGCTGATGGAATTCATAATACAATAATCATAAACAACGAAGTGCAGATGTACGTGCGTTGTAGGTATAAGAGATGTATTCATCATACAGTGTATATTCACTGATTATAACGAGAGTGTTTTTAAAGTGCATAAACTCGCGCTAGACTGAGCTTGTGATGATCTTTAGTAATGAAATGTTGCTCGTTTTCTGTAGCTGCTTTTTGAATAACGTTAACTGAGGAAATGTAACTTACAATGTTTCTATTAATTTGTTATCATGTTAAATACAAATTCAGGCATATTAAAAACTTTCGGCTGCTTTTAGTCTTACGCTGGAGTTGGTTCTCTTTCTGGCAATGAAACCAAGTAAATAAATAATTAAATAAATTAGCACGATAATATCGTGTATCGGTGATCTCACAGGCTGACGATAGGACGATATGAAAATTGAGCATATCGCCCAACTCTAGCATATAAAATACAAGAAATTTATATCAGTTTATCATATTAATAATTATGATCACACAGTCTGTTTACAATGTCTGTCATTGTTACATGTTTACATCTACCAATGTCTTTATACAGTGTGTGCGTATATTGAGAGATAGTGTGTATCTTATATATATGTAGTACATATAGTAATGGTTATATTGGATATTAGTGATGATAGATGCACTTTTTTCACATTTGAGCCCCAGCCCCTGAGAAAGTCTCTGCACATCCCTGTAGAGATTGGGTTGATTTTAATAACTTTAATGCACTTAAAATGTGCACCAAGCACCAGGAAAATCCGAGTATCGAATTGGGACTCGGAATCAATGACTCCGATCGGGGGCACAAAAAACCTGATCGGGACATCCCTAGTTGTATTCTTAAATTTTTCTACCTCTTAAATCTACAGATTACACCAAAGGCTTTGGTGGCAAATTTGGAGTGGAGACGGATAAAGTGGACAAGAGCGCCATGGGCTTCGAGTACCAGGGAAAGACTGAGAAACACGAGTCTCAGAAAGGTTTGTCTCGCATCTTTCATGCCTCACTGTTTGACTTCAGTTTAACAGTACAGATTTATAGAAGATTTTAGTGTTTTTTTTCCCCTTGTGAACAGAAGGTTGGGATAATACTACATATCATTTTCACAGTCAGACGGTGACTCTCCTGTGGTTTTTCTGGTTTGTGTAAGACTATGTAAGGGGCTTCGGAGGGAAGTTTGGCGTTCAGACGGACCGTCAGGATAAGTCTGCGGTGGGATGGGATCATCAGGAGAAACTGCAGCTGCACGAGTCACAGAAAGGTAAAAGACACCACACTCTGTCTGAGGGTTGTATTGATACTTTAATTATGTCTAATGATATGAAACTAGAGATAAGCATCTGTAGCACCTGTTTTTATGCATTGTTATACCAAGGTCTGGATGTCATAGCTCTTCCAGTGGGATATTAATTCTCTGGTGTTGTTTGGTCATTTTTGATTGAATTTTGTTTCATTTTTTTATTTTGTACTTCTTTGAGATGGTACGAAACTTGGTAAAAGTTTTTGCGCTTGCCATGTACTCACACACGCACACTCACTCACACACGCACTCACTCACACACACACTCGCTCACTCACTCACTCACACACAGACGCACTCACTCACACACACACGCACTCACTCACTCACACACACACGCACTCACTCACTCACACACACACGCACTCACTCACTCACACACACACGCACTCACTCACTCACACACACACGCACTCACTCACTCACACACACACGCACTCACTCACTCACACACACACGCACTCACTCACTCACACACACACGCACTCACTCACTCACACACACACGCACTCACTCACTCACACACACACGCACTCACTCACTCACACACACACGCACTCACTCACTCACACACACACGCACTCACTCACTCACACACACACGCACTCACTCACTCACACACACACGCACTCACTCACTCACACACACACGCACTCACTCACTCACACACACACGCACTCACTCACTCACACACACACGCACTCACTCACTCACACACACACGCACTCACTCACTCACACACACACGCACTCACTCACTCACACACACACGCACTCACTCACTCACACACACACGCACTCACTCACTCACACACACACGCACTCACTCACTCACACACACACGCACTCACTCACTCACACACACACGCACTCACTCACTCACACACACACTCGCTCACTCACACACACACGCACTCACTCACACACGCACTCACACTCACGCGCACTCACTCACGCACACACACACACTCACTCACTCACACACGCACTCACTCACACACACACTCGCTCACTCACTCACACACACACACTCACTCGCACACACACACTCACTCACGCACACACACACACTCACACACACTCTCTCAACACATACACTCTCTCTTTCTCTCTCTCTCACACACGCACTCACACACACGCTCACACACACACTCACTCACACACACGCTCTCACTCACTCACTCACTCACTCACTCACACGCACGCTCTCACACACGCTCTCACTCACTCACTCACACATGCTCTCACACACTCACTCGCACACACGCACTCACTCACACACACACTCACTCACTCACACACACGCACTCACTCTCACTCACTCACACTCTCACGCACGCACGCACTCACGCACGCACGCACACGCACTCACTCACACACACACACACACGCACGCACGCACACTCACTCACTCGCACACACACTCACACACTCACTCACTCACTCACTCACACACACGCACTCACTCTCACTCACTCACACTCTCACACACACACGCACTCACGCACGCACGCACACGCACTCACTCACACACGCACTCACTCACACACGCACTCACTCACACACACACACACACGCACGCACGCACACTCACTCACTCGCACACACACTCACACACTCACTCACTCACTCACTCACACACACTCACTCGCACACACGCACTCACTCACACACACTCACTCTCTCACTCTCACTCACACACGCACTCACTCACACACGCACTCACTCACACACACACACACACACACACACACACACACACACACA